AAAAAGAACACAAACATACATATATATATATATATATACGAGTGTGAATATAAAATGCTTGAACAGTTCATATACATATATATATATGTGTGTGTGTGTGTGTGTGTGTGTGTGTGCGTGTGTGTGTGCGTGTGTGTGTGCGTGTGTGTGTGTGTGACTTGCGTAATTGAGAGAGAGCGCGAGAGATTGTGAGCGTGTTTTTTGTACTTTAGTCTCGATTAGAACTCGGGCTATAGATAATTATAGTTTTTATGTCATTGTTTGTGATATAAAAGTTCCTAGTCTTATGCTAGCAGGAACTGGCTTGATCTTAAAGACGTGTCCAGTCCATATTTGTGTATACTTAATAAACATATGAGCACATTGGAATGCTAAAGTATATATTCACTTACATTGGGTACTATTTATATATCTGCAGTAATTCATAATACTAGCTGTGTAGCCGAACTCCTTACCTGGGTGTTGTGTGTAAGAGGGCGATAGCGGCAAAGTTCACTTGAGATCTCGGTGCGGCCAGTGCATATGACCGACAGGCCTGTGTGAGTACGTTCATATTACTAACTGGATATCACCTCATAAACCTCTCCACAGCAGATGTGGATGTTTATGATATATCAGACGATACTAAATATGCCGTGACTTTTGAGCACCTTAATTAAATATGAAATACAATACAAATGTATTCAAAAAGTTTCTAATATACTGTGAACATCATGATCGATACATATTTATTTCAATTCTCCATTACGAGGTCGGACTAGAGTATACGTTTAACTTATATTTTTAAACGTCTAGCGTATATGTGTGGGTTAGAAAAGGCCTGACCTTAACTAAAGATAGTAAGACTATACAGGAACCTATTGATTATAATTTGCACCTAAGCGTCTTATTTTGGAACCCATATCAAACAAATAAGACACTAAACGCAAATGTAAAATGTATTGAATTTTCTACCCTTAAAAACGTATTGAGGTCAGCACAGGCCGGAGGCTCAAGCGTGTAAATACTCTCTATGGCATTATTTTCTCTTGGAATTCATTTCTAGAAAACATGTACGTATAGTTGCATATGTACCCCCACACCAAGAGACCTCAGAACACGGTTGATTTTACCGGTGATGATTTTTTTTATGATGCATTTGATGATGATACAAATACATATTTAGAATTTATAGATCGATCTAGATAAATGAATAAGAATTTGCTGCAAGATTTTTAACTTGAAGTATAATAGTGGGTCTCTTGACAAACAGATACTTGGCCAATATTGTCTGCATCAACAGTGAAACACTGCCAATCAATTATACGACATACACACACATAGGCAGCAGGAACGTGTATTTTGCCTATACCCTAAATCTTTTCTCAAACATCACCCGAAGTATTAAAGTATTAATCTGCATACTCTTACGCTACAACAGTCGACATGGTATATACAATATCACCCGAGCATTGGGAATACCGTGACGAAGGCGGAGCAAATATTGTGATGGGCTATGTGGGACCCGAAAATGGGCTCAAATGCAAAGTGTTGCGTATCCGAAAGGGAAATATCAAGGAATCTTCGGATGGGACGAATGAGATCAAAGAGATATACATGTACACTCACGCTATTGTTGGCAAGCTGTTTCCCGAGGGGTTGGTTGATGCGGGCGAGTTGTTGCCGATAACCGCTGAGCAGGTATGTTATACTATGTATACGATGTATAGGATGTATATATATATTGATAGTAGAGTTGAGCGCAGCTGTATTCTGATTGTAGTGTTTGTATATTGTGTGGGATTTGGTGTTGTAGTTTGAGTACTTTTTAGTGTGTGTGTGTTCCTTTGATGTGAACCGAAGTAAATATGTGCTCAATGCGAATAAGGGAGAATAGAGACAGGTCCCAAACTATGTCGCGCCACTGAAATGAGTAATTCCGACTGACTATGCCAACTAATTACCGAGAGCCGTGGATCTAGCTGAGAGTACCCGTATTTGTACTATCATTTATATGAATACACACACAAACACACACACACTCATAAATTTATATATATATATATATATATATATATGTATGTATGTATGTGTGTGTGTGTGTATGTATGTATGTATGCATGTATGTATTTATAAATAAATCTATAAGTATATATATATGTGTGTGTGTGTGTGTGTGTGTTGTGTGTGTGTGTGTTTATTTGTGTGTACACATGTGTGTGTGTATCTGTTAATATATATATATATATATATGTATGTATGTATGTATGTATGTATGTATGTATGTATATGTGTATCTGTATATATATATACATATATATATATATATATATATATATGTATGTATGTATATAAATATATATATATATATATATATATATATATAATATATA